GAAGTCATACAGAAGGTATCGTGCCGCCATAGCTACCTGAGCTTCCCACGGTGGCTGGTTGACCAAAGCGTAACAGATCTTGACCGACTACCATTACACATTCAGCTGACACGTGACTTACGCTGTAATTAAAACCAAGTCTACATACGAGTCAGTGGAATGAAATCGGACAAATCTGTTAAATAGATTTTATCAGCTACCATCTGTTTATGGTGTATTATTTTGTCTAATTCTCCATGTCATGTAACAGGAGTTGAATTACGAACTTACAATAACCTGACATTCGGGAATAAACTATTTAAACCAGACACATTTCAGCTGTTCATTTTATTGTTCATTATAGAAATAATTATTATCTAAACTTGCAATTATGTTAACATAAACAGTGTCGTGAAAAAGGCCGAAAATGTGTTTATTATACGTTTCTTAACATTCTAAATGATTCTTAAGAGTGTAGATATGCTATATCTCCCTATGTTCGCTGTGAGAACAGATCTGACAGTGGAGATACTTCCTTAAATACACTATATCATCTCCAGTGTTGAGATATTTAAGACTCAAGTCATCCATTCAGGGCGTAAGTCAGCCAGCGCTTGGCCCCAAATAGGCGTTTTATCTGGCAGCATTAAGTGTATAGGGTTACAGGAGTTGAGCAATTTACTGCATAACGTGTTACAAGCTTATCTGAAACGGTCTCTGTGCCAAAATGTTATCTTTAACAGTATAGCTCAATCAGCTGTTTATCTTCCTTGTAGATAACACAAAATACTCAATCTATTGATAATGAATATTAATAGTTTCACTCTCTTCTCTCCACCCCGAGATTCACGCAGGACACTTGATATTAAACAGGCCAAGATAAAACGCGGCTTTCCTTTAAAATATTAGAAGACTCAACCGACAAAAATACATTTTGGATAAAAAATTATCGACGCAACCACCAACAGGCAATGTCTTATATTTTAATTGGCAGAACACAGCGACTTTGGGCATGCAATAGCCCTATCTGACTCGCCATATTACTCAATTTCCAGTTATTTGACCAAGCAACACTTTTTCCTTGATAACAAACTGCTCTAAAAGTCAATAAATCATTTGCCCCTTGTCAGATCGTTTAAATGGTTGCGAAAAGAAAAAGAAAGATTTGTCTCCCCTGGCCTCGTGACCTTAATTTCTCACCTCACACGTAAATACTTTCGCTTTTCTCGATTAGTCTGGCCTTCTTCGTCAAGTAGCGGGTGGAGCCAGGACCTCATGCTAGTTTCGTATAAATCATACTCGACTATCGATAAGGGGGGAAATGACAAATTAGTTGAAAAAAAAAGCCATGGAAGGGAAAAAAGAAGCGAACAGGGAATTTCTATCGCAGAACATGAGACAAGTTGTATACCGGAGGCGTCCTTGCCTTAACCCCGCACCAATCCATCACTTTTCCGGTCGCTTACGACACCAACAATGTCGTTCCTATAACTAGTTCACTGATTCACAAACGCAGGCGAATGCGCAAAGCTATGCAAAGACGGAACCAAGTTTACTTTTCTGTGGTCTCTCGTTACAACACTTTTGGTATTTTCTGATCACTTCTACCACCAAGATCCACCGTGTAGTTGCACCTTTACACGACTAAAACACCCCAAATCGATAATAAATACGGGACTTCAAAGACACAGGCTCCATTTGCTGTGGAAGCAAGTGTCTCGAGATGCCTTCTCGACGCGTTAGGGGTCGTTTATTCCTCCGTCACGCATCATCATTCATCCCAAACTTCCCCGTCTCGTCTCTCGCTCGCATCCAGGAACACCGTTATTCATCCGAATGTTCAAAGCGTGGGGCACGGTCGGGTGAAATTGTCAGGTTCATGTATATCTATAAATGGACCAAACTTCCTCTTTGAGAATAATCCGCAAGGAATCCATCGCATACAGGGAGAATGTATCGTTTTTTCATTTAAACCAATGTCTTCTGTTTCCACTCGGTAAACGAAATTTGTTCCGATTTCACGAATTTTGAAAGTAATCTCATAATGCTTTGTCGATCGGGTGAAATAAACTTAACACTTAGATGTTTGGTCGGGACAAAGTTACTTCCCTTCCCTGATAAAAAATGTTATTCAAAGGACAAATGAAAGAGTACGTAGGTGTTAAACAGTAACTCGAAAGGGAAATTGTAAATAAAATCGTGAATCCATTTGAGCTGGTTGTGAGTGAAGGATGGACTCTCATGCTGAACAGAGGTAGAACTGTCTTTATGTAAAACTGGTGCAGAGGTTCTGTTAGGCGCCACGTCTCTTCGGATCAATGTACAATGGCAGAGACATCGTTATTTAACTTACAAATCTCACAAAGTCATAAGGTACATATATTTATACTGTTCACCAGTCATGTCTAGTGGAATGAAATAGTATTATGTAAACATGATTTATTTTGATGACTCAATGTGAAAATTCTTCGAAAGTAATTAATAATTAATGTATTTTCGGAAACAAAATCTTAATAACACAGGACAGCTGACTGTGTTTCAAGTAATTCACCAGGTCCCGTCAAGTCTGTCCTTTGCATGTTTCCTGGTGAGTTTGACACGGTAACGCAAAGATGAAGTACTACATGGATGTTTTAGACTACCTTGCCCGACTTTCTGATCACGAAACGTAACAAGGAAACAATGCGTTAATTAGTTTGTAAGACCAACGTGGATGTATCAAGATAAATTATTAGTGTTCACGACATGGACACAGGCGTTAGACGAAGATGTTCAATGTTAAAGCTATACCACCGTGTTGCAAACTTCTAAACAACAATATCTACCTCTGTGTTAGTTCACAACATTTGGGGAAACAATTTCTATTACAAAGACAAATCGAGGGATAGAGATCTGACGTCAAATACAAAACAAAAAACAAACAAACCAACAACAACGAAAAAAAAAACAAAAAAAACAACAACCAATAAATAAGATAAATAAAGGCTTTAAAATAAATAATCTTCAATGCGGTTAAATAGTATGAGCAATAGAATCATGGACATCGTAGACTTGTGGTGTTATTTCTGTCCGTACTCTTTCTTTTGAACGAAATCCTTCAAGGACGATCGCAGTAATGCGAGTCACTGATATTAGCCCACGGCTTTGTATTTACGTGTTTCGGGTCGCCATGTTTCCTGGTATTTGAAATAAAATATCCAACTGACTCCGAAGAATGGATCTACAAAAGAAAAGAATGTGTATTTAAGAGATACATCTTTTTAAAACGAGACTTGCTCTTTGTTGTCAGTTTGAAAATTACTTAACAGAGCATATATATATCAAAATACCTTGTGTCTCAACTGAAAACGTCTTGTCGACCGTGGTTTCACAGTCTGATTTCATTGTGTATTTGACAATTTTCAATGAAGTCATTGTTTTCATTTGTTTGATCGCTGTTTAACGCCGCACTTAGCAATATTCAAGCTATATGACGATAGAGTCCTTGTTTTCAATAACAACGAGAACAACACAAACATGACTAGAAATATAGGCCGTTCATTTATTTATATTAAAACAATTGGGGCAAATAACTGGGAATTTTACAGGAAATGAGAGCTGTAAGGGGGCGAGGAGTTGACTATGAGCAGTTCCCAATGCCATGTTAGAATGGAGCGCATTGTGACAGTACTGGCATGTTAGAATGAAGCGTATTGTGACAGTACTGGCATGTTAGAATGAAGCGTATTGTGACAGTACTGGCCTGTTAGAATGGAGCGTATTGTGACAGTACTGGCATGTTAGAATGGAGCGCATTGTGACAGTACTGGCATTTTAGAATGGAGCGCATTGCGACAGTACTGGCATGTTAGAATGGAGCGCATTGTGACAGTACTGGCATGTTAGAATGGAGCGCATTGTGACAGTACTGACATGTTATTTATTTGAAGAAGACCCCGGCATGATACACGACCGGGCTTGTTGTCTCATCTCCGAGCCCGTGTGGAACGCTTGTCATTCCAATACCCCAAACAAACCCATCACTATGGCAACACCTATCAATCATCCAGATAATCTGGAAATCTTGGTCTGGATGACAAAGAGTGGTCAGTCTCTAATCATGTGCACCCAAGGGACTGAGGATGACCGTTAGAGTGATGGATAACTCCTCCATTCTGGTATGTGCCAGAGTTGTGTCCCTTGGCTGCTTGTCAGATGTGACCGTGAGATTAGGTCCGCAGTTGTCAAGGGTTACATTTGGTTTTTACGAGTGACATATTGCCAGTAAAGTCTGCAATAAATTGGTGTCAGTCTGACTACGCTGGTGAAACGTCACACTCATTACCAGTATAGCCATATGATAGCGTTGCATCTGAATATGGTACAGCCCAGGAACCATATGGATTCAAACTTTGGATCATCACCAGACTGGCCCTACTAAAGGGTATTCTTATGGACAGCGGTTATCGATGCGTTAATCCACTGGACCAGTCGTGCACGTCCCGCTCAATCAAAAAGTCGGACAACTGGGGCAGCCGCTGACTCGGTCAAAGATAAACAAAAGAGTAATTAAGTCAATGCAATTGTGAAATAGTCAGACAAACTCAGTCATAGATAGTCAATGACTCAGACAAAGAGTAAAGGAATCAGTGAAGGAAACAGTCATTGTGACGTCAGTCCGAGTCCCAGTAAACAAGAGGCAGTCAAATAATATACCAGAGACTGTTGAGACCATTTCAGCCAATCCCCTAGACTAACAACTAGTCTCTGAAATGAACATATTTTACTGAAAAATGTTCATAGTAAAGAAAAATATAATATAATGAAAAGGAGCCCTGAGACTTTCTTCATTTTCAGAAGCTGAGGAAATCTAGACTTGCCACATTTCTAGACTTGCGTGGGCTTTCTTGGATATATTTGCTTCAGGGTCTGTACGACAGACTACCAATCCCCAGACACTATTCCCTGCCGACAATTGAAAAACAAAAACAAGTGCTGATATTGACACCGATACAATAACGTAGATTGTTCTGAGAATCCACATAATCTTGGATTGAGGTTTGTATTAGTGACGTCTCTGTGAGTCTGTGTGACTATCATCTCCCTGACATGAACATATTTTACAGAAACAAAGCGATTAATGAATTATCAATCATAACATATAATAACAAGGAGCCCTGAGATTTTCTTCATATTCAGAAACAACTGAATCTAGACAAGCCACATATTCTAGACTTGCATGGGACTTTGTCTGCCAGTAGAGTCCACACACCCTCGTGACATCTTTAAACGCTGCAACGCGTCCATCTTCATCCTCGAGAGTCCAGGGCCTAGATTTTCAAAGCTCTCTTAGTGTTAAGATAGTCGTAAGTTACTGTTAATGCATGGCACTTACGACTGTCTTAGCGCTAAGAGAGCTTTGAAAATCTAGGCCCTGGACATTACGTCTGTGTACTGTTGTGATAAATAGCCTGGACCATAGATAACAATAGCTTCGGTTTCAGACAGAAATGTGTGGAATCCAGGAAGGGATGTTGTCGCTTTGCCGCATTGTCGCCCTCACAAAAACAAGCAAAAAGTGGCAAAATTAACCAAAGTGCAATAATGCGACAATGTCCCTTCTAGGATTCCACAGAAATGTCATGGCTCTAACATTAGTCCTACAGTCAAATCACGTATTGTTAGAATGGCGTCATACACTGACGGACAAAGGCAGTGTACGCCCGTGTTTAAAGGTGGCTAAAATATAACCAGATGGTTGTCCGATGGTGATGTATTTTGTACGGATATCATAGTTTTCGTGACCATTTTCTGGCTGGCAACGTTTGAATAACGCTTGTACTAATATTCTAGCTAATACAGGATAACCACCTTTCATGAAACGCTGGGCACCGTTTCACAAAGCTATCGTAGCGCTACGACTGCCGTATGCCTATGTTACAGGGCCCCGTTTCACAGAGCGATCTTAAAGCTACAACTGTCGTATGCCTATGTTACAGGGTCCCGTTCCACAGAGCGATCTTAAAGCTACAACTGTCGTATGTCTATGTTAGAGGGTCCCGTTCCACAGAGCGATCTTAAACCTACGACTGCCGTATGCCTATGTTACAGGGTCCCGTTCCACAGAGCGATCTTAACGCTACAACTGTCGTATGCCTGTTACAGGGCCCCGTTTCACAGAGCGATCTTAAAGCTACGACTGTCGTATGCCTATGTTACAGGGCCCCGTTCCACAGAGCGATCTTAAAGCTACGACTGTCGTATGCCTATGTTACAGGGCCCCGTTTCACAGAGCCATCTTAAAGCTACGACTGTCGTATGCCTATGTTACAGGGCCCCGTTCCACAGAGCGATCTTAAAGCTACGACTGTCGTATACCTATGTTACAGGGCCCCGTTTCACAGAGCGATCTTAAAGCTACGACTGTCGTATGCCTTTGTTACAGGGTCCCGTTTCACAGAGCGATCTTAACGCTACGATACACGTAAGCTTGCGTAAGTATGTGAGTTGCGATCACCTTTGCGCTACGATTGTTTTTTTCTTAGGGGCCTGTACAGGGGGTACAACGCTTGTAGCGTCACGACAGTTTTTGTGAAACGGGGCCCTGGTCAGTAAGTTGTGTCATACTGTTATTGGTTGCCGGTTCTGTAGTAAGATACAAACTTGATACCATGTTGATCAGGTTGTTACCTGGTGAACAATGTCAGGATCTACTCTACTCTTGCATGTATGATGAACTTAATGTGTTGAGTATGTGTCACGTGACTGGCTCCAGAGGGGGAATTACCAGCTGCAGCTGCAGCAGAAGGTTGGGTCACCGTCGAAGATCCATGCCTAATGTCACGTGACAGCTCAGGTGTTTCCTTGCACATTGTAAAGTCAGTACGAAACATATTTGAGTTGCACTGAGTGATGAAAATCTTGAAGTCGTTTTTTGTTGCACTTGTTTCGTGTAAGAGAAAAATGATGATAACGGTTTGCAGATTTCACATTTGGACGATGATATGTTACTGACTCAATCAGTCAGTCAAACAGTTACAATTATTCAGTCAAACGGTCTGTGCAAGAGTCAATCAAAGACTCCGCCATTCAGTCAGTAGATTCTGTCAAACGGTCAGACAATGAGTACATTCCATCAAACAGCCATAAAATGAGTCAGTCCAATAATCGGCCAACGAGTATGAATAAATCTGTTATAAGGCTTGTCAAACAGTCAGTTGAACAGTCAGTCAAACTGTCAGCGAAAGTGCAGATTCCTTCAAACAGTCAGTCAAAAGACTAAACATGGTAGATCGTATGTCGTTTTAGCAAGAGACTGATCGTGGCACCAAAATACATAGTTCACCTGATGGAGCACTTACAGTTGGCCCGCTGTCATTACTCGTACACATACTGAAGCTGACTTCACAAATGTAGCTAAACCACGTCGCAAAGAATACAGAAACTAGTACCACTTCTGTATTCGAACCCGGAGTTTAGGTATGACAAACAAACGCTGTGGCCTTAAGAGAAACCACCATTCAACTTGCGTAGCATTATTTAGCTCGACATGTGTACTCGTCTATATGCCAATACTCGACATGTGTACTCGTCTATATGCCAATACTCGACATGTGTACTCGTCTATATGCCAATACTCGACATGTGTACTCATCTATATGCCAATACTCGACATGTGTACTCGTCTATATGCCAATACTCCGTCAAACATGAAACAATGAGCATTATTTAGCTCGACATGTGTACTCGTCTATATGCCAATATTCCGTTAAACATGAAACAATGAGCATTATTTAGCTCGACATGTGTACTCGTCTATATGCCTATATTTAGCTCGACATGTGTACTCGTCTATATGCCAAAACTCCGTCAAACATGAAACAATGAGAATTATTTAGCTCGATATGTGTACTCGTCTATATGCCAATACTCCGTCAAACATGAAACAATGAGCATTATTTAGCTCGACATGTGTACTCGTCTATATGCCTATATTTAGCTCGACATGTGTACTCGTCTATATGCTAATACTCCGTCAAACATGAAACAATGAGAATTATTTAGCTCGATATGTGTACTCGTCTATATGCCAATACTCCGTCAAACATGAAACAATGAGCATTATTTAGCTCGACATGTGTACTCGTCTATATGCCTATATTTAGCTCGACATGTGTACTCATCTATATGCTAATACTCCGTCTAACATGAAACAATGAGCATTATTTAGCTCGACATGTGTACTCGTCTATATGCCAATACTCCGTCAAACATGAAACAATGAGCATTATTTAGCTCGACATGTGTACTCGTCTATATGCCAATATTCCGTTAAACATGAAACAATGAGCATTATTTAGCTCGACATGTGTACTCGTCTATATGCCAATATTCCGTCAAACATGAAACATTGAGCCTTATTAAGCTCGACATGTGTACTCGTCTATATGCCAATACTCCGTCAAACATGAAACAATGAGCATTATTTAGCTCGACATGTGTACTCGTCTATATGCCAATATTCCGTCAAACATGAAACATTGAGCATTATTTAGCTCGACATGTGTACTCGTCTATATGCCAATATTCTGTCAAACATGAAACATGAAACATGAAACATGAAACAATGAGTGAGGACATCGTCCCTTGACCATTTTCTTTTCGTTTCGGTCCAAGCACACCCTGTGATCCTTACGTTCCAAATGAATCAAGTTTAGACTTCCTTGGGTTCTTAGCTGGGTTTAATTTTAAATGAAAACTGTTTGTTTCTCTCAGAGTAATATATTTTCAGAGACTGAGTCTTATTTTCGTGTGTGTGTTTCGTGTTTATCGCCCCACTGAGCTGTGAACAGTGTATACAACGACGGCCTATAAATAAACAAGTTGGACCAGACAATCCTTTGATTAATATCACGAACCCTCATTCATGCTGTTAGAGTTCACTGACCTTCTGCCAACCAATACACGAAGCCTGACCACCCAATCCACTTGGTCCCCCTTACGACCTTATTACTCAGGACAAACCCGAACTCCCAGCTGGGCGCTGTACCCTTGGACATGTCCGTATACACTTAAGAAGGGTCTGATGGTAATGATCTACTATATTTTAATTATTTCTTTAATTATCTAATTATTTCTTTCCCTCTGATGGTTTTGATTTATGTAATAACACTGGTTAACCCACTCATGACCATTACCGACCAGATGAAGAAGCTCTAATACGTGCACTTATAGTGTGCTCTACATTGTGAATACACCCTCAGCTCTAAAACCTACCTCGCGTTCAAGCAATAATTTTAATGATCACAATACATAGTCTTTTGCTCTTACATGACCCTTGGAAGGTCACGGATTGCTAGAAAGAGGTTAATTACCTTTAACATAATTAAAGCAACCTCTGAGATGATGAAGTCATCGAGAGTTCTGCCTGACAGAACCTCGTTTGTTTAACCAGTTCGGATGTAACATCTGGGTTTAAGATAAGCCTGTGCACGAACTCAGTTTTCCTTACCAAACCAAGTGGAACGAAATTAATTTCATAATATGAGACTCTCCGAACCGATTTCAGCTGGATAAAACAGCTTTTTTAAACCCTGTACCGCCTCTGAGGGAATGGTGTTTGTTGTACGGAACAAGAAAGTGTAATTGGGACGTTTATAGTGCAAAAGCAATTCGTTCAACCAGTTATTTATGTGGTGCAGTCGAACACGCCCACATATTTTATTGTATTTCCCGTGCAGATTTTAGTAGGTGAAAGTAATTTTGCAGGAACGGTTTTACTTATGCATTTTAATTGAGATATTAAAATCTCGGAGGTTTCGGGGATTTATTCTTTCAGCAATATAGACGTGTTGAAGAGAGACTGGAGGGTATATTTATTGCTATTATTTACACTTTCTTCAGCTTTCTTTCATCCTTATATATTTTTTATTAAAAAATATCAAATGTAGCTGGTGTGAATCCAGTCCTTCATCAATAAACTGATGATCTGGTAACTTATAAAAGTGTTGTGCTGATGAAATTATCCGAAATTCAGTCAAATGGGCTGATTTGGGGGAATTTACGAGAAAGTCGTAAAAGACACATTTTTATGGTGATTAATGTTTGCATAAGGTGTTTAACTCGTCCAGTACTTTACCACATCCTGTGTTTCATATTGTAATAGTTTTCACGTGACCTTTCACTTCCGGTTCAAGTGTTAAGTTTGTTTTGCTGAATTCATGTTTCCCAATTGAGAAGGAAGATAAAGCCGGTTGTATGTATTTCATATCTTACGGAATATATTTTAGACAAAACGTCCAATGAAGAATTTCATAATTTACAGATTTACAGATTATGTAATTTTTAAACATTATTTCAGCTAAAAGAAAACAATTTGTTTTGTATAAGACACGTTAAATGTTTGTTAACCATGCTTGTGGTCGGTGTGTTCCTTGAAACCTCGCAAAAACGGACCCTGTAAATCTGGAAACACTGCATAGGTAACTGCAGTTTCAAACTCTATTCTTGTGGAGGTGGGGCGTTTGTTTTGTTGGTATTTGTGTTGTTTTGTTTGTTTTTGTGTGTTTTGTTTTCCTTTTTTCGGTTAGAGATACTTGGAATTTAAGATTGAACATGTTCAGTCAGCAAGTCACGACATACCATGCAGTACAGTCTAAATTACATCCATGTGTTCGTTGTCAATGTAAAATACGTAAGCACAGATCAAGTGAATGCTGTTATTTTAACATGGTCGTTCCGTTTGTTTATTCGTACATGCCATAATAATAAAACACTTTGCTACATTTTAAAGTTGTGTCTCTAGTTGTCTAAGTCAAAATTTAGAAATAAAAAATGTTAATTTCACACACATGCCCGGTGAATGTTTTGTTAAAACATTAAAAAAGGTTCCCGTACATAGAGTACATGCTGATCATAGTTTAGCGGTACAACGCCAAGCCAAGCTATTAAAATACATAGCGTAAATAAACAAACAATAATGGAAGCAGTTATTCTGCAGATGTTAAAATGGTACCCCCGTAAATTTTACCCCTGTCAAACATTTGTTGTTTTATATACCAAGATTTGCTCAATAATTTACGAAAACACATAAACCTACTGGCCTCGTCGAAATATTACACTTTTTCCAGCACACTTAGCAAAAAAAGTATCATCTGAAATTTGATTTAGCCCATAGCTTATTTGTACATTCAATTAGCTGGAGTGAGAACTTGACGCAATGCAGCGTCATAAGTCACAATAAACTTTGTTTTTCCGGCATCCTTTTTGTAAAGATTGGCTATATTCCATAATGAAGGTGATGTTAGGAGCTGTATATATCTTTACTACTGGCATAACAGTGTAAGGAGTATCAAAACATAGCTCCACGTGACAGGTGGATACTGTTTTCGTCATCAGGAGAAGGAAAAAATATTGAAAAAGAGAAAATAGTACGGGTCCGACTTGAGGCGAAGAAATTCCGCTTTTATGACAGTCGATGTTTACACCTTCATTGATAGACAGAACATTTTTACAGCAGCAAGTGACAAACTGCAAAACTCATTTCTGACTATTCAGGGAACATATTACGGATGCATTATCATACAGGAATATATCTGTGTGGTTATAAGTAACATAAAAATTACAATTTTCCCGTTTCGGGGCACGGTTATGAAAACTACTACTACCACTACAACAACTACTTCTACTACAATTACCACTACTACCACTACTTATACCAAGAATATAACAGTCGGAATTTACATTTGAAAAATTATTTCATTTTCATTAAACAAAATCATACTCATTGAATTTTGAATTTACTTCAACTATTTCTTTCTCTTTTTTTTACTTCATAAATACAAATAAATTTAAGTATTACAATCTCCGTTAAATGTATATATGTTGTACGTAGTTTAGTTATTTAAAGTGGGAAAATCTCGTCACTATATTGCTGGAATATCAGTGTTATATAAACACAAAATCATGCATATGTGTACAGACAGTGAATTTACATTAACGTAAAATTATGATTTCTTCCTCATATAATGTGTTTCAATGCATAAATATCATCATCTAAATATGTTCTAAATCAATGTCCGCATGTACAGGGTTCGTATTTTTCAAAGAACCGGTTCATTAAACGAACTATTCCAGTAACTCAAAACATTACCAAGATTAGCAATAGCTTTAAGTCATTTTATAAACTCAATAATGATCACACTAGATTAACAGCTTATACACTGACAAAAAGAAATAGGTAGACTTTTAAAAGGTAGATGTAAACAGTTTTGAATAAAATTCGAAAGCTGACTGCAAATAGAGAAGAATTAACAAGCAATTACGTTTCCAGGACGCATCTGTGATATATTGAAACTACATACCTGCACAGTCATCTGATGTATTCATAGTCTATTTGATTAATTATACATTAACAATAGACCGTTACTCGACTCAGTGTGACAGTACCCGCGGATCAATGACTGCCAATACCACTTTCCCAGATTGACAATGTATAGAATAACTGGTTTATAGAGTGATTAATACCATGACGAATTAACAGTACGAAGATTCAGAAATACTCTAGATAATATCCATTTTAATAAATACTATTATTGTACAAACGTTCGGAGTAAAATAACTCATTTTGTCCTAATAAACTGCCCCGATCCGGCTATACCCCGAGGTGCATAGGCAAACGTCTGGCTGGTGTTCAACTAATGACCGCTGTAACCTGGCAATTGTCACACGGCAGGATTAGGGTAGAAATACCCTGTAGCACTGTTATTTTATAAGTTACATGCACACAATGTGATTTGCCGGGGTTTCCGGAAATATACTCAATTAGACTTTTGTGACCTGCTTCTGGGCACTTCTGGACGCTTCTGGCCAATTATTGTAGTTTTAACTGTACGTGTCAGAAAAATATGTTCCCAACAGTCAGTTTTATCTGCCATCTGACTTTCAGACAAATGTATGTCTTCAAAACATAAACTGTTGTCGTTGTACGGGAGGTTGTATACTCCGACGTTAACTGCTGTCACATAGCAGTATCTAATACTCCCTGTATATGGAGATTCCCGGGGGCAACATCTCACTTAGATACAACCCCGATTGTTTGACTGTACATGTCTAAGTGGTATTCAGTGATAACTCGAAGATAAAGTAATTACGTCATGGCCAGGGATGCTGCAGTTTGTGAGTTGGAAATTTGAGTTTAGTCATCGTATGTTTGTTTGACAATGTATGACCAAATGTAGCATTGTCATACGGTCGGTTGGCGTGTTCCAACTATCTGCAAAATTTCGAATGACGAGATGATTCTGAAAGGAGAGTTCGGTGGGATTGGAATCCACGTATCCCCGTCAACACATACTAAAGATTCGGAGAATTGTGTCACATGGAAACATTTTTATTAGGCTGGGTTTGAGGGCGGGAGTAGATTTGGAATAACAAATCATCATCCCGAAATTACCTAGACTTTGATATATTTGATGAATACTTTTCCATCAGTTTTTTAATATCGAAATATGTCAAGGTTTGAAATAATTCTTATTCTATCGTGTGAAAAAAGAACAAATAAAACATCACCTCAGTTTTTGTTCATTCATTTAACTAATCAATTTGCTGTGGCCTTACATTGCCAGATTGATATATTTAAAAAGTGATAATGTAATCGTGTATTCTATTTATCGTGCCTGGTTTGCAAGGACGCTTTTGACGAATCTCACAAGGTCATAGGAAACAAAGTCTTAGGAAACAAAGTAATAGGAAAAAAAGTCATAGGAAATAAAATCATGGAAAAAAAGTCATGGAAAAGTAGCTAGTATATAAAACATCCTGTTCTCCAGTTATTTACTTTGTTTTATACTGTATTTTATAAATACTATTTCACTTTCATCTATAGTAATAAAAACATCATGTTCTCCAGTTATTTACAAAAACTATTTCACTTTCAAGCTAATTATTCCTTTCAGTGTGATACTGTAAGCAACTGGATCTTATCAAATCACTAGAAATGAACATATTATTAGTTATTTAGTTCTTAAAGGATTATGGGATCAAAAGTCACGAGTCATATGATTGTTTGTTTCACTTGCTTTGAGCTTTGATGTACTGCTATTGCAGATGATTGTGTTGTGATCTGTTCATTTCATGACGTCATGTATTATACTTGAGCATATGACTATTCTCCTATGACTTTTTTCCTTCCCAAATCAATGACTTTTTCCTATGACTTTATCCCTACAACCTCTCACAGCCCTCATCTCTGTATTGCTGTGACGGTTCAGTGAAATCGACATAATATGATGAGTATTAATTGTAAAACGATTCTGTCGATACACAGAGTTATAATTCTACATCTGATCATAACACACCTATATGTCACATGACATGACAGGTGCAGAATACGTAATGTGCAATAAAACATTCGATTAGTGTAAAAACGACACGTTTGATGTCATAAAACATACGTTTCCATAACAGGATATCGATATCAACATACGTACTTTGTGACAAATATTTACAATGTTTTGTTCTGTTTTCGACACAAAAAATTGATTTAATACAAAATTGATTTTCCATTTTTGGAAAAAGATAAAAAAGCACGCTTACACTCTTTTAAGGATAAACTACTAATCTGACAATATTTTTATTCAAATGAAATTGCAAAGAGTAATTGTATTTGCGGGTTAGACATAATGTACCATTTTCATCCCAAATAATGAAAATCTAGTTGTTCAATAGGACAAAAGTTTAAAATGTTGAGTTGAGGTGAAAAACTATACACGCACGTTTTTTTAAAAAATACTCCGAGTATGATGCGCTGAAGTTTCGTTATTCTGTTTTTCTGTTAATAACGCTACATGACACAGACTAGTTGTATTTGAGGGCTAGGTGAGTTGGATATATGTTCACTGACAAGAAAGAACATGAAATGACAAGCATTTCGGATGTATACTGGCGACTTTGTTGACTCTGAGGTAAAAAAGTTGAGAAACCCTTAGCAGCCACTTGTCGTTTATCAAAACTTCAAAGTAAAATGTCACAATTGACACAAAAAATGATAAATTATTCGACGTGACCCTCCTTCGGTTTTTTTTCACAGCCATAAATCACAAATACCTGAAATTTGGGATGGCAAAAGTCGACAGAAAGCTGGAGGACTCGCCATCATAAATTTCCAATTTTTGCAGCGGAGTGTCAGAGTGCCAGAGTGCCAGATGTAGAGAGTTGCCAAGTATCCAGTAAATAAGGCGTGTAGGGACACATTTTAAAAAGTCGGAAAACGACAAAATGATACCAGTGTTTACAATAAGCTTTCTCGGAGTCTTCACGCTGAAGTCCCATTTTAAAGCATTTAAGCTGAGAACGGTTAGTAAGGGGTCACTTCATTACAGAGATCATTTTGAAACGCTTGTCTCTGTACAGGAATGTGGTGATGTTTTGCTGAGAATGTACAGTTGGTTTATGGGGAGATTTGGCGTCTGACAAGGGATATATATTGTTAATAACGCTGAACGTTCCCAACACTGCGTAACCAACGCATATGGAAGATTATGTGCAATGTAAAAAATGGGGATATTGTTTTTCATATTTTTTCTTTATCTTTTTTTCGTATCTTTCTTGTGATTGTGTCGATATACCAACTGGATGAAATTAAACAGTGTTTTTTTTAAAATGTTTATGCGTGAGATACTTACATGTTAAAACAAAATAAATATAAAACACATCCTGGGTAATAATTCGTTTCTGTTCAGCATTATTCTTTTAGATGAAACCCAGTACTAGGCCTGATGATGTATAGAATCAGTATTCACGAATTCTCTGCCTGAAATTTTTTTTGTGCAGTAACACAGTAAGAATAGCAATAACATTTTACCTGTGTAATTTCAAGGTAGTCAGCATTATCACACGGACGTGAACGAAATGTGCAGAATCGGGCATGTTTATCTGGGTAAATCTAATTATACTCAGAGTTAAAATAAAGTTGGATTGTCAACACTAATTCTTGATAAACGTAGTGACACGAGATTTGTAATGGAAATAGCAACAACAATGATGATGATGATGATGACAACGATACTATACTACTACGGCTACAACAACTACTACTGCTAGTCCTTATACAACAACAACTAATCTACAACACTAACTTGTGCTTCTACTACCACTACTAGAAGCACTTCTACAACATCAGCTACTACTACTACTACTACTACTACTACTACTACTACTACTACTACTACTACTACTACTACTACTACTACTACCAACACTTATACTTACAACAAGTAGTACCTCTATAACAGCAACTACTTCTACTACAACTACTGCTGCTACTACAACACCTACTAGTACTTCTAAAACAATTGGGATTCAGTGCCCTGCAATCAACAAGTCCGACCACCAGATTCACTTATTCACCTCACGGTGGCTCGGGACGTATATTCTTACACCGGATCCCTGAAATAATCCCCAATAATAAAGACAAATTAAAACTAGCAATAATTAAAAAATAATAATAGCCGTACAAACGCAATCAGTTTGTCTTCTGGCAATCTACTGACATTACTTGTCAGGTCGATGACAATCTACACGGATAATATTTCGTCCAGTTTAATTACTTCCTCTCAATGACCCGACAAGTCAAATGTCGAACGTGTTCAGTCACGTGTCACATATTTTCAGGGAAACGCCTACCGTAGGAATAACAATATATATGTTGTTGTCGGCATTCCTGGGCCTCTAGCCACGAGGATACGTTTGTCAACTAACACAATACACCCATATATGAACATGAAGGCTTGCCCAAATCGGATTATCCTTTGATTTGAAACAAGATTCTGTATCCGTCGTCAATATCAGCCAATCAAATACACACTCTTAAAGTAATCAGTGACACCGTGGGGTAATTGACCATTTCTTTAACACCATTTTCCCTAAAACGCCAATCATGGTCCCGTCTGAAAGAACTAAAACGGTCGCTGATGCCGAAATCAAGTCGGAATAGACAGAAGGGTCGGGTGACAAGGAGTCTTTAGGAAATGACAAATGCAGTCATGTTTTTGACGGATATAATCTTGATGTAAGGGAAATGCCTTCTCCGATGTTTCCCAATAATTACATACGTCTTATACCCCGTGATTGAAACTGTCATGACGTCATTGTCGTTGAAGTTGACAATAGCTAACGAAGATGTATGGTGCATTTCAAGCGGACGTCATGGTATTTGGCTTCAGAGGCAGAGATCATGTACTAAACGTTGTGACATGCAGGTTTTAGATGCCCTGCCTGACAGCACTACAATGCAAGTCATTAATATCCACGTCGGTTTAAATACGTTATCGATTTGGAATGTTGACACAACGAAACGTCGCAGGCTAACGGTAAATATATGACGTTTTGAGCCGGCGTCACTTTCCGAGGATGCTAAATGGCCACTCACTCCAAACTTTGACATGGAATTCAGATGGTTCCATTTGTGCTTGACAAAGAAATAACGTCCAAGCGTAGTTGTTAGACCGTCATATAAGGGTACGGACTATATGGGTAATAATATAGTTCAGTCACGTAAATGTACATAAGCGGGGGGCAGCGTGGTGTGAGGTATGGTGTGGGTGTGGGTGGGGTGTGTGGATGCGGGTATGGGTGTGGGTGTGGGTGTGGGTGGGGTGTGTGGATGCGGGTATGGGTGTGGGTGTGGGTGTGTGGATGCGGGTATGGGTGTGGGTGTTCTCTCCCATAGTAGATGCGCCTATTTAAAATCGATTTCATCACAATATAGCAAAACACTTTTTAGATATAAGATAATAACGTTCGAATTTTAAATAATACATTGACAGGCACAGAGTGAGTTGTGGGTGCAGTTGTGGATGGATTTGCAAAAATCATTCATTTGTTAAAGAATAAAGTCTGTGTACCTTCCTTGGAAATAGCCCAAATATTGCCAACAGCAGCATTCAGTATGTATTGTACAATGTGACGTCACTACATTACTGGCCTGTTTATTATGCTGCATGACTGAAACATTCCATCTAAAATAATTATATGTATAACAGAGAAAGTGAATAAAACCCATTGTCTTTTATCACAAAATACCATTCACCGAAAATGATTCTATGTGTGTTCATTCTCTTTCCCGATCTATAGCCCGTGTTTTATATTGTATTGTCTTTTTTGATTAAAATCTTTTAGTTTGACATGCTAGTCTTATGTTCATGTCTGTGATACTCTAGTAGTTTTACTGCCCATCGTCGACAGGTTTAACTCTTAACAATGTTTTCTTTTTATATTGTATAAATTGTTTTCGTCACGATATGGCTGAAATATTGCCGGTGTGACGTTAAATATTAACTCACTCACTCACTCATTCTCTTTCCGTGTAGATATCTGTAAAGATATTTAATATCTTCTTTAAGTGGCATTTCGAAGTTGGTGTGATCAACAACGGGGGACGTTCTATATGGATATACAAAGAATAATATAGACGTTGTATATTCAAAGGACTTTCCCCGTTGTTCATATTCAATATCAACCTTATCTGAGCAAGTCCCACTTTATTGTCTAAATCACTCAATCCAATTCAGGAACAAAATCGATTCCCAAAAATTCCTGGAGATAAGATGCAATGTAGGGTTACGAAATAAGAGTGATTAATTTGTTGTGACCCAAATGATGGAGTGAGTGAGTGAGTAAGTATGGTTTTACGCCGCTTTTAGCAATATTCCAGCAATATCACGGCTGGGGACACCCGAAATGGGTTTCAAACAATGCACCCATGTGGGGAATCGAACTCGGGTCTTCGGCGTGACGAGCCAGCTCTTTAACCACTAGGCTACCCCACCGCCCCCAAATGCTGGAAATAAGTTGATTGTTGGTTTCATTTCACACCACTCCCTCACCACTACAAGCATGAGAGTTTGGTGCCACTTGAGACTTCCTGTGTTGATTCCAGGAATCTCTGGTGGTCGAACGAGTGACCTAAGGGGTCGGGTGGTCAGGCGAGC